AGCTGTACGGGCTGCATGGGCTCGTGCTGGAGCAGCTCCGCTGGTGGCTTGGTGCGCGCATGGGGTGGGCGCTGCACTGGGTCGGTAAGCGCTGCCCACGTGGCAGCATTGCCAAGCGCGAGCTCAGCCGCCGTAAGGACTTGCCTGGCCCGTGAAAGTTCGCCTTGGCGGACTTTAGTGCAAGCCCGCAGATGCCTGCGTTGGGCGAGAACTTCCGCGTCTAGCTTTGCCGGCGCTGCCGCTGGGCGTCCGCTGGAATGTGCCGTAGTTGACGCCATTCACCGGGCTGGAATGCTGACGCACGTGCGAGCAACGTTGCCCGCCCTTGCGAGCCGTGCTGCATGGGGCGTGGCCAGCAGCATGCGCGGGGCGAGCAAAAAGAGCTTCCATGCTCGGGCAGCAGCAACGCCATTGCCCTGCCCTCCCGCATGCGCCGCGCGAAGGCGTGACAGCGCGTGCGTCAAGGCAGACCGAACCGAGGCTCGCAAGAACGGCGGTGCGTCCTGGAGCGTGGGCACAGGATGCCGCAGCTCTTCTGTGAGATCCACGTCGTCAAGCGCTGCCAAGGCCTCGTCGCCTGTGGCGGCGGCTAGTGGCGGACAGGCTGTGAGGAGTGCCTTGGGGATGCCACCCGGGTGCACGCTGTTGGGATTCTCGGCGGTCTCAGTTGCACGAGCAGCAGCGTGAGCTGCACTGCCGCGCCCACGACCACGGCCTCGGCGGCCCCGGCGGCGACTCGGCGCGGGAGAAGGTCTCGCGTCTGGGGCGTCAACTTCGCGGGCACCCTCTTCCACATGACTCGGGCATTCGGGTGGAGGTGCACCAGCAAGGGCACGTCGCATGTCCTCCGCCAAGTTTTGTGCTGCAGTGGCCACCACACCACCCCTCATGGTCTGCCGGAACTGTGGGCCTCCGCGCTTCGTGAGCTTCGAGATCCGCCACGGCACTGACCAGACGCGCACAGGCACGCGGGTCTGCCGGCGCAGCATGGCGCAACGCCATTACCAAAGCGGCCCACCGGTCGCCCGCGAGCGGATGCGAACTCCATGCCCGCGCAGCATCTGCAGGCAAAGAGCCCGCGGCAGCGTGCAAAAGTGGCACGTCAAGCCACGACAAATGGTCCTTTGATGGGGCCTGACAAGGCGGTCCGGCATCGCACAATGCCATCGCATCTACTGGCGAGTAACCTGGGGTTGCCTCGTCAGCCTGTGTGGGCGCGGCCTCGCCTTGCACGAGTTCCTCAGCTTCGCCAGGCATAGCTGCGGCGTAATGCGCATTGTGGTGCTGCGGGCTGGTCCGGCCACGCGGCATGCGCGGCGGCGACGCCATGGCCGTGTGGGCACTCAACGTGTCCGAGACAGTCTCAGCGTCCGACTGGTCGACAGATAACGAGTTCGTTGTTCACTCATCCCTGGCTTGAAAGACTAAACACCAACAGTAATCCCGCAGACGCTCCGTCCCGGGGCATCCAAGATCCCAAAATGGCTGTCCATACATGCCATTTCGAAGATTTCTCATGAGAAAGCTTGTTGCACGTGAAAATGCCAACGTGAAATTTTTCTCAAAGAGTTCACGAGGTTTGTTGACGCAAATAAAGACGTATCAATCACGATTTCAAAATAGTCTTGTTTGCTGTCCATAAAAGTAAACATTTCCACTCAATCAATATTTTGAATATTCTGGAATACTCCGCCATCAACTTTTTTTGGGTATAATATACATCCAGAATGTTTCTCCGTCAACTCCATCAAATATACTATCATATCTGTAAGGTTTTCACACAACGCAATTGCAGACAGGAGAGCACGCGTTTTTTGTTTCACCTGGCGCGGAATCAAGTGCATTGGGGTTTTGGGCGTTGAAGCAGGCCCACGTTTGTGGAACTTGCGCGCGGTGCATCCAATCGTTTTTTTTGGAATATTTGAAATGCACGTACTAGTGCCGTGCCGTAGTCTCGGCCAGCGGCGCTCCTTCCCCAAAGCACCCAACTGCCGCTTTGGCAAGGCTCAAGCAGTCAACTTTGGCGTGTGCTGCAGAACATTGTGTCAATTTTGCCCGCCCACCCACCCTAGAGAGCGCCGCTGGCCGACACCACGGCACGGCACTAGTGCGTGCATTCCATAACGCGATTGGATGCACCGTGTGCAGGTTCCTCAAACGTGGGCCTGCTTCAAACCCAAAAAACCCTAACGCATTCGATTCCGCTTGAGTTAAAACAAAGAACGCGTGCTCTCCTGTCTGCAGTTGCTTTGTATGTGCAAACCATACGGATTTGATAGTATATTTCTATGTCAATGATATATATTATACTGTATAAAGTTGATTTTCTAGGGGGCGGAGGGGCCCTTGCCATGTCGGCAGCCGTGATCGGACAGCTTCTGACAGCATGCGCTGGCGCGTATTCTGCGGCATCATCGGCTGTGGGCTGGGCAGCTTCCTTGCCGCCAACGTGCAGGGAAAGCCCGGCCCACACAGCCCTCACCTGCAGTGGAGTAACACCCCGCTACTTCACTCCCGGCTTCGGGCCGCTCGCCCTGGGCTGGGGGTGGCTTCAGTTGGGCATCTTGCTTGGCCTCCTCTTCCGCCGAGCTGCGGCCACCTTGGTCGCATTGGCAGGGGGCTGCGAAACAGGCTGGGAGGCCCTGCTACGCGCGTGCTTGGCCCGCACGCAGGACCCACACCGGCAAGCAGTGTTGCAGTACCTTTTGCAAGGGGGCGAGGCGGCGTTGCAGGAAGTGTCGGGGGCATCAAGCCGCACGCCGGCCCCACTGCTGGCCCACCTCCTGGCCGCCGAAGACGTACCTGCGCTGACAGGCGTTTCAGCCTCACGCCCCGCCAACCCAGCCGCTCGCCGACGCGGCGGGCGGTAGTAGACCCGTGGAAGGGGGTCAGGATCGGCGAGGCAGCGCAGCGTGGGCCTGCAACCGGATCCGCGCTTTCCTCGAGGTCGAGGGTCTTCGCGGCATTAGCGCACCTCGGCCTAACCTGTGATGCTGGCACTGCGGCTGCCAACCTATGAACAGCTGTGATCAGGCGGCCGCCACACGGGTTCTCATTGGCACCGCTCATGATGAGGAAATGCAAGAAAATGTAAAAACCCGGAACGGCCGACGAAATTCCAATGTTTTGAAGCAAAATCCAATTGTTTTGCAGTTTTCTTGCCACTATGAAATGCAAGAGGAAATAGAAATCCAGGAAATGCTTCCCAAATTCCAAGATTTTGAGGCAACATCCTACTATTTCCCATTTCTCCTGGATTCCACACCGAAATGCCAAAAAATGGAAATTACGGGATGCAATAGATATGCAAGAAAAATGCACCTGGCAAAAACAAATGCAATAACCAATGCAAGACAAATGGACCCCTCAAAAGCAAATGCAGGCAGGTCAGGTCAAAGCCTCGAGTATAGACACATGGGCAGGAAGTGCCAAACAGCCGATTCGCTGAGCTGGCACTCATTAGAAATTGTGCGTAAACACTTTTCCCGCCATACTTTTGATGGCTGGTTCCAAAAGTATTCTAAGCTTTGCCGGTCACCACACATGTCCAAGGCAAGTTGGTAAACTTCTGCAAGCCAAATTTGCCTAGGTCTACCCTCTGCCTGCGACCGTTGGGCATTCGTGGCTCAAAGGTCCTTCCATGAAAGATACATGTTCGCATGACATCGCCAGGCGGGAGCTGTGCCGCTCGGCCCAATAAAAGCAGTTGTTGCCGTCGAATAATGGTGGGGTACAAACTGTTTGCCATGATCTTGCTGAAGCGGCTACACATCGCGGGGGCGGAGGAACAGATCTGGCCAACGCAATTTGCATTCCGTTCCAAGTTGGCGCTTGATTGGGCGAAAGCCGTTGATTCGATAAGTCCCACCGCTCTGTTGGCCAGCACATTGACAGCAGACGAGCTATAAACATACCTTGGAAACGTGATTGCCGCAAACGGTTCCATGAATTCAGAATTGAACAGGGCGATTTTGATGCCTTGAACCGGGTTTGGAAACTTGCCAACCTCGGATTGAAGAAAAAACTGGACATTTTCTCGGCATGTGTGACTTCACGCCTTTTTGTACTCTGTTCATACTGCTTGGCTGCGCAAAGCTGAGCTCCGCAAAGATTGATGCTTTTCAAGCCAAATGCCTGCGCAAAATACTTGGGGTCCAGCACGCTTTCTACAGCCATGTTCGCAATCAGACACAACAGTAATCGGACGATAATTCTCACACAAGGCGGTGTCCCCCTTTTTGAAAATAGCCATCACCAACACATTCCCAAATCTTGTTGCAAAGAGCCACGGCCCATCTGCATGCAGGCGAATTTGTACAGCAAATGGCCTTCCAGAATTCTGCGGGCACGCAATCTGCTCCGAGAGCTTTCTTGCGTTTCAGCCGTGATGCCGCCTCCACAACCTCCGCTGTTGTGAGTCGAGCCTCATCAACTGGCAACGGCGGACTTATTGGTGTGTTTACATCAGCACCTGACAGAGGACGCAAATGCAGCAGGCAATGAAAGAAAAATGGACCCTTCAAAAGCTAATGCGCTAGGCAATGCAAGAAAAATGGACCTGGACAAGACACACGCAAAAGACAATGCACATAGCACGCAGCTGCATCGCCAGCAACAGCGCCTGACCTAGAACTGGAGCCGGAGCTGCCGGAGCTACTGGTGTTGCTGGTCAGATTGCGGCAAACCAGAGTAGCACCATTGGATATAGTGGATAGCAATAAGATGACGAGGGAATAATGCCAACATTAGCAGCATCAAATTCCAACCTTTTCCAGATTCCTGAAACCAAGCAGAACTTCACTAGAATATCCAGCCTACCGATCTAGTTGTTTGTTTCGATCACCCAACTGCCCTAGGTCCGTAAGCCCTGCTATCTTCAACACCAGAGCCAGCAACCCACCACCAATCACCAGCGACCCTGACACGCAACCTTTCCCGTAGTACCCGGATGGTCCTGGAGACCATGTGTAGGGAATAGGGGCTGACTTTCATGATCCTTTTTGTCGTTGATATTGATAGTGATACAGTCATATTGTAGTTTTAAGATTGAACATCAATGCCACAGACCGTCAGCAGTTCGGTACGCTCAATAGGCCTACAGGGCAGAAACAGGTACAGGTGCCCCATCCCATGCCGGCTGCTTGCATGCAAACTGCACAGGACATCCAAACAGGCATTGGCTCATGAATTAGGATCAGGGCAAATGATGCCAACAGCTGAAAACTGCGCGAGAATGATATGTATCGCAACGCAAACCAACTTATTATCGGCTTTATTGTGAAACAACAATTGAGGAGAATCTCGCAGCAAGCTATCAAGTGCCCGCCAATGCCAACTTGCGCAAAAGGGCCCCTAAGGCCTAAGGAACTGGGTTTTGGTGTTCGTGATCGCTTGTTTTTTTTTCCAGATTACGGCATGCCAGCTTCAAATTTTTCATGTGTTTGGATTAGCTTTGGACAGCTTTGGCCTGACTGTTGACGGCCCTAAGGCAAAGGATGAGTCGGATGAGGCACTTCACCCCCGCGCAGGGAGGCGGTTGGCAATGGGGCCGCCAGGCCCATAGGAGGAGATCGCTGAGGGCTGGGATGGGGCCTTCGACGTTGCCTTGCCGGCATCGCTGGGCGCGTAGGAGCTCAGGGTAGGTGCGCTGGTGCCGTCCACGACGAGCTGCACCGCCCCACAAGACAAGGGAAGTCCATTGGCGATGACCTCAGGGCCCCATATTGGGAGGCCCAAGACGGCTCCGCGACCCAAGAAGCGCCCGGCCGGGCTGGGGTCGGCCTTCGGATTCCTGAGCAGACAGCACATGCTGCCCGGTGGCATAGGTGGGGGGCCCTGTCGGCAAGCCGGGACCAACAGCGAGGCCGCATGGCGCTGCGCGTGCAACTGCCGGGAGCCCAGACCATCGCGCAACCCACAGGTGTCGCAGGCCTAGCAAACCTTGGCATACTCCAGATTCGACCCCATGAAAAAAAATAAAAGGGAAAAAGAATGGAGTTTGAAAATGGACCTATTTCCAATGCATTTTAGGCTTTGGCAAAACAAATGCAAGAAATATTGGATGGATTTAATGGAATGGGAAAACAATGCAAACCCAAATTCATTTTCAAATGGAACCCCCACTTGCACACGGACTGTGCTACGGGCCGGAAGGGCGCGGGAGCGGAGGATGCGCTGTGGCATGCGAGCAGGCGCAGCCGGGTGGCGGTTTCGGCTCCAAAACAAGCCCCAGCCTTTACCCCAACGACCACCAAGCGGTAGCGACAGGCACGCACAAGCTCAAAGTACGCAAGCCACCGGACGGGCACTGCACAAATGGTGGACGGCGC